TTTCAACTGATAACGATATCTGATTATCAGTAAAGAGAGTAGTGATATCTCATTATCAGTAAACAAAATATATAATTATACATAAATCATAAAGTGTGCATATTTGATAATAAATTAAAATGAAAAAATTTGATCTATTACTTTAATTAGATGCATTTAAATATATCTTTTCAACTGATAACGATATCAAATTATCAGTACCTGATTATCAGTAAAGAGAGCAGTGATATCTCATTTATCACAAAGAGAAATTGATAAAGAGAATGAAAAGAGTTGATAGAAAGAGAAAATAAATAAAAATTGAAATTATAAACAAAAATAAAACAACTAGTTTAAACTATCAATTCAACAAAATACGTCACACAGATCATTTGGATACACCATGTAATCAATTTATAGGCCATTTGAAAACGGATTTTTTAATTTCTAATTTTTTTTTTTCATTTAAATTTAAAATTTATATTTAAAAAAAAAAAAAAAAGAACATTACTTTGAATAGAATCAAAATTGTTTTTCATTATTATTTTCCCTTCTTTCTTTTTTTTTTTTTTTTTTTTATATTATAATTAAAATTAAATACTTTCAAAAATTTTTATCACTTTAAGGTGACAAAAAAAATGCGACAGAAATATTTTATTTCTTTTGATAACAAATCTGATATTAAATTAAAAAATCATTTCTTTTTGATAATCAAATTTTTTAAATTTTATTTAAAATAAATTTGTTGATGAAACAAAAAGAAGAAAAAAAAAGTTTTTGGTAATATCATTTACAATCAAGAGTTATTATTATAATTATTACTATTATTATTATTATTTTATTATTATTACTATTATTATCATTACTATTACTATTATTATTATTACTATTATTATTATTACTTTATTATCATTACTATTGCTATTATTATTATTACTTTATTACCATTACTATTACTATTTTTATTGTTATTATTATTATTACTTTATTATCATTACTATTACTATTTTTTATTATTATTATTATTATTATTATTATTATTATTACTTATTATCATTACTATTACTATTATTATTATTATTATTATTATTATTACTATTATTACTTTATTATCATTGCTATTAATATTATTATTTTTTACTACTTTATTATCATTACTATTGCTATTATTATTATTATTATTATTACTTTATTATCATTACTATTATTATTACTATTACTTTATTATCATTACTGATTATCATTACTATTATTATTACTACTACTATTATTATTACTTTATTATCATTACTATTACTATTATTATTACTTTATGATCATTACTATTACTATTATTACTTTATTATCATCACTATTTCTATTATTATTACTACTACTATTATTATTACTATTAATGTTATTATTACTATTATTATTATTATTATTATTATTATTATTTGATATCCTAATAAAACTAAAAAGTTAAGGAAAAAAATGAAAAAATTAAAATTTTTTAGTATTTTTTTTTTTTTTAAAAGAATTTTTACGAAAAAGACAAAATTCATAATTTAAAAGAAAAAAAAAAAATTCAAAAAAGAAAAAAGAAAAATTTATTTTAAATTTCTTTATTCAATAAAATTTTTCATTTGATTACATCTTTTCATTCTTATTTCTTTTCTTTTTTTTTTTTTGTTAAAAGGAAATTTAGGTTATTTCATTTAATTTCTTTTTCATTCCAATTTTTTTTTTTAAAATCAAATTTTCAAATAATGGATGAAAACATTTTTTATTCCAATTTCTTTGTTACAATAATTTAATGTTTTATTTTAAAATAATAAAAAACACAAAAACCATTTTTGTATTTTGAATTTATCATTTCTTATTTTTTCATATAAAATTATTTAAACTTTTCATTTAGATTTATTTCAAATTTTTTTTATTTAATTAATGAAATAATTTTTTGATAGGAATTGAATTTGAATGAAAATATTTCAATAAACTAATATTTATGATCTAATTTAAATAATTATTTTTGATCTATTTAGTAGGAATAGAAATATTCAAACTATCTTATTATTTCAGATTTAAGTATGAATTAATTATTTAATTAATTAAATAATTAATCTAATTTTATTTAATTAGTTATACTTAATTTATTACTTAACAAATTAACAAATATTCCAAGAAACTAATATTTATGATCTAATTCTTGAAATATTCTATTTAGTAGGATTAGAAATATTCAAACTATCTTATTATTTCTGATGTAAATATGAATTAATTAATTAATTATTTAATTTAATTATTATTCTAACTTTATTAATTAGTTATACTTAATTAATTACTTAACAAATTAACAAATATTCCAAGAAACTAATATTTATGATCTAATTCTTGAAATATCTATTTAGTAGGATTAGAAATATTCAAACTATCTTATTATTTCTGATTTAAATATGAATTGATTAATTAATAAATTAATTAATTATTTAATTTAATTATTATTCTAACTTTAGTTATACTTAATTAATTACTTAACAAATTTTTTGGTGAAATTTATTAGTTATTTGATAGTTTAAAAATTTCCACTGCAAATTTTCTAAAAAATTGATAATTTAATAAAATTTTAGAATATAATTTTCCATAAATTAAGTATTCATTATCAAAAATTTGCAATAAAAAAAAAAAAAAAAAAAATTTTAAAAAATTAATTTCAAATTTTCTTTTCTTTGAAACTATTTGCTAAATCAAAAAAAATAAAATTATTTTCTATAAAATTAAATAAATTAATTAAAATTATAGAATTAGTCTAATTTGCATTTCATATAATAAATGAATAATTTTATTTTCAATTAATTAATTTCAACTTTTTAATCTAATCAAAATTTTTATTTTGACTTAATGCAACTTATATAAAATATGCTAATTATCATAATCAAATCATCACGTACGCCAAAAAAAAATCATCACGTACGTACGTATTTACGTCCAGCATCATATCAGTTTACATATTTTTCTTCAGATTTTCTTTTTTTTTTTTTTTTACCAAAATTAATTTTTTTTTTTTAAAAAAAAAAAATAAATCATTCATATGTAAAATAAAAATTTATTTATTATTATTTTTTTTAAATTATTAACTGAAAATATAATTAATTTTAAACGAATTTAATTATTCCGATAATTTATTCAATTCTTTTTTTTTATTATTTTAATTAAAAAAAATTTTGTTTCTATTTGCTGAAACAATAATTCAGGCAAATTTGTTAATATTAATGAGATTTAAATTCAGGTTTTTTCTTTTTTTTTTTCTTTCAAAAAAAAAAGAAAAGAAAAATTTTGAAAATATTTAACAAAGAGTTTTCTTTTTCTATTTTTTTTTTTTTAATCAATTATTTTTCATCAATTAGCTTTCCTTTTTTTTTTTTTTTTTTTGACCATTAATTAAACTTTAATTTTTGTTCATCAAAAAATTTGAAGAAAAAAAAAAAAAAAACAAGTAAATTTACAATGATTATAGTTGTTGAAGATGAATGAAATGAAAAATTTTAACTAATTTAATTTTTTAATTTAATTTATTTTTTACTACGATTTTTCGATTCTTTCCATATTGATTTTACATAAATTTACAAAAAAAAAAGAGAAAAAAAAACGCACGTAACACGTACACGTTTAAACTAAATTCAAATTAAATAATTTTAATAATTTTTATTTTGATTAAATTTAAATTATATAATTTTAAATTAAATTTCGATTCTATCCATATTAATTTCACTTTAGTTCACAAAAAAAAAAAAAACGTACATGACACGTACACGTTTGAATTAACTTACGGACACACTTTAATTATACACTTTCACGTATATTTATACGTATATACGCTTAAATATCTACATGTATACGTGTATACGTAGACGGATACGTGTACGTTGGTTACATCCAGAACAATTCATTGATTCTCCGATTCTTTCCATATTGATTTCACGTAAATTTACAAAAAAAAACGTACATAACATGTACACGTTTAAATTAACTTACGGATAAATTAAATTGAATTAAATAATTTTAAATTAAATTCCGATTCCATCCATATTTATTTCACTTAAATTTACAAAAAAAAAAAAAAAAAAAAAAAAAAACGTATATAACACGTACACGTTTAAATTAAATTGCGGACATGCTTTAATTATACACTTTCACGTATATTTATACGTATATACGCTTAAATATCTACATGTATACGTGTATACGTAGACGGATACGTGTACGTCGGTTACATTCAAAATAATTCATTTAATTAGAGAAATTATTTTTTTTTTTTCTCTCTTTCTTTTTCTTTTTATTAAATCAGCCATTTGTGAAAATGAAAAGAAGAACGAAATTGTCAACTTGTTTGTCACCAAAATTTTTTTATTGTCACTTTATCATTTCCTATTGTTTAAACTTATACACCAACTGTTTACTTCATTAATTATTTCATTTTTGTTTTTGGTTATTTAATTATTAAATTTAGGTTATTTCTAAATTATTATTATTTTTTTTTTATTCATTTAATAATTTTTGTCATTTTATTGATAATTAAATTCATACTAATTAATGTTTATTTAATTTAATCATATTCCAACATTATCATTGTTACACTATCATTATCATTTTTATCATTTATTGATTAATTTATTATCATTTATTGATTATCTATTGATCAAATTATTCTTTTTTATTTAATTTAATCAAATTCCAACATTATCATTGTTACACTATCATTATCATTTTTATCATTTATTGATTAATTTATTATCATTTATTGATTATTTATTCATCAAATTATTATTTTTTATTTAATTTAATCATTTCAACATTCTCATTGTTACACTATCATTATCATTTTTATCATTTATTGATTAATTTATTATCATTTATCGATTATTTATTCATCAAATTATTCTTTCTTTTTTTTTTTCTTTTTCAATAATAATTTTCATTTATCATATTTATTTATCAATTTATGCAAATTTTTTTTCATATCTTTTCATTTCCTGTCATCTTCACTCACATCTATTTCCCGTATTTGCTGTCCACTTTGTCAAATTTTTGTGTCCCCTCTCTCCTTTTTCTCCCTCTCCCTCCCTCCCTCTCTCTCTCTCTCTCTGAGAGATACAGATGTAGCACAACGTATTCATTTATTACATTTTATGTAAATTTTTTTCATATCTTTTCATTTCCTGTCATCTTCACTCACATCTATTTCCCGTATTTGCTGTCCACTTTGTCAAATTTTTGTGTCCCCTCTCTCCTTTTTCTCCCTCTCCCTCTCTCCCTCTCTCTCTCTCTCTCTCTGAGAGATACAGATGTAGCACAACGTATTCATTTATTACATTTTATGTAAATTTTTTTCATATCTTTTCATTTCCTGTCATCTTCACTCACATCTATTTCCCGTATTTGCTGTCCACTTTGTCAAATTTTTGTGTCCCCTCTCTCCTTTTTCTCCCTCTCCCTCCCTCCCTCTCTCTCTCTCTCTCTCTGAGAGAAACAGGTTTTATTTTTGAAGATGAATGGAAATGATTTTATGTCCACATTATCATCATTATCAAGAGCTATAAAAATATTTTCAATGGACATTGATAAGTCCTGTTTCTCTACATTTTACTTTAATTAAATTATCTCTACTATAATTAATTCATTTATCTTATCAGTTCCATTGTTTAATCTATTATCAATTGATAATTGTTATCACCAAACAAATGATAATTATTATTCAATTATATGCTTAATTCATTTAACATTTATCATTTTAATTTAAACTATTTTAAAAAAAAAAAAAAAAATTTTTTTTTTTCATTTCAATTCTTTATTTTAATTTTACAAATTAAAAAAGAAAAAAAAAAAGATTTAAAAAATTTTTTAAATTTTAAAAATAAATATTTTAAATAATATGAGAAAAGAATTTTGTTAATTGTAATATAAATTTGTAAAAATAATTATTGGTAATATTAAAAAAAAAAATTAATTTGTTTTTTTAATAATTGAATTATAAATAAATATTAAATATATTTGTGCTTAATTCTTTGTAATTTAAATGTGACAATTTTTTTTTTTCTTTTTTCTTATTTATATTTATTTATTTATATAATTTTTTTTTTTTAAATTTAATTTTTTAAAAAGTTTTTAAAAAAATTTTTTTTTTCATTTTTTTTTTTTTTTTTTTTTTTTTAGGTAATGAATCTTTATTCATTATACTTATTTACAATACTATTTGCAACAGTATGTATGCTATGCAATTCACAAAAAGTAAGAGTTTTTATTTTAATTTTTTTTAATTAATTAATTAATTTTTTTTTGTTAAAAAAAAAAAACTTTAATGTATAATTTAGTAAATTTATTAAAACATTTAAATTAATAATTTAAGTATTGAATTTATTGTGATATTTAAGTATTCAATTTATTGTTGAATTATTAATTTAAATGTTTTAATTTTAATTTATTCTAATAGTATGAATTTAAGTATTGAATTTATTGTGATATTTAAGTATTCAATTTATTGTTGAATTATTAATTTAAATGTTTTAATTTTAATTTATTCTAATAGTATGAATTTAAGTATTGAATTTATTGTGATATTTAAGTATTCAATTTATTGCTGATAGTATGATAGAGATTATTAATTTAAATGTTTTAATTTTAATTTATTCTAATAGTATGAATTTAAGTATTGAATTTATTGTGATATTTAAGTATTCAATTTATTGTTGATAGTATGATAGAGATTATTAATTTAAATGTTTTAATTTTAATTTATTCTAATAGTATGAATTTAAGTATTGAATTTATTGTGATATTTAAGTATTCAATTTATTGTTGATAGTATGATAGAGATTATTAATTTAAATGTTTTAATTTTAATTTATTCTAATAGTATGAATTTAAGTATTGAATTTATTGTGATATTTAAGTATTCAATTTATTGTTGATAGTATGATAGAGAATAATTTTTTTAATAATAATTTAATGAATTTACTTTTTTTTTTGAAAAGTTTTGAAAAGATTTAAAATTTTTTTTAACAATGAATGAAAGAAAAAAAAATAAATAAATGAAAAATAAATTACAAATTTATTTATTTTATTTTATTTTTTTTTTTTTTATATTCTCATTTTACAGTTACCCGGATTACGAGATATCACTACGTTTGCTAAAATATTTTACCCGCAACATACATCACATTTTTTACCCAAATTACCATTTGTTACAATTCCCAAAAGAACGAAACTTTATGGCTTACCACCGTTACCCGGTCATTCCACTGGTAAATCTACCGGTAAATCTCTTTTATAGCTTTATGATAATAAAATTCCACTGGTAAATCTCTTTTATGATTTTATGATAACAAGATTCCACCGGTAAATCTCTTATATTTTTATGATAAGAAAATTCCATTGGTAAATCTCGTTTATGTTTTTATGATAACAAAATCCCACCGGTAAATCTACCGGTAAATCTCTTTTATAATTTTATGATAACAAGATTCCACCAGTAAATCTCCTATAATTTTATGATAATAAAATTCCACTGGTAAATCTACCGGTAGATCTTGTTTATAATTTTATGATAACAAAATTCCACCGGTAAATCTCTTATAATTTTATGATAACAAGATTCTACCGGTAAATCTCTTATAATTTTATGATAATAAAATTCTACCGGTAAATCTACCGGTAAATCTTGTTTATAATTTTATGATAACAAAATTCCACCGGTAAATATCTTATAATTTTATGATAACAAAATTCCACCGGTAAATCTCTTATAATTTTATGATAACAAAATTCCACCGGTAAATCTACCGGTAAATCTCTTTTATAATTATATGATAACAAAATTCCACCGGTAAATCTACCGGTAAATCTCTTTTATATTTTTATCAAATAAAATTCCACCGGTAAATCTCTTATTCCTTTATCATAATAAAGTTTTTTTTTTTTTTTTCTTCATAAATAAAAAAAAATAGAAATTGAAAGAAAAATAATTTCGAATCAAATAAATTAGTATATTAAATTTTTGCAAAAACTAAATAAAAGATAGTAAACAAATAAATAAATAAATAAATAAACAAATAAATAAACAGCTAAATTGTTGTTTTAAAGCTTAAGGTCCCTCGGTAATGGAATATTTCATTTTTTTTTTTTGAATAAAAATAAAATCAAATTAGAATTTGACACAATTCATCAACATTTTAAACTAAAAATAATGTAAAATGATAATTTTGCAAAAAAAAAAAAAATAATCTAAGAAAAATAAAAAAAAAAAAAAAAAAAACTAAGTTTAAAATAATTTAAAATAGTATTTAGATTATTCAAATTATACTTTGAATAAATAATTAAATAAAATTTCATTCGAAAAAAGAGTTTTTTTTTTTTATGAAATATTACTAATTAAAGTTGCACTTTTTTTTTTTTTTTTTTTTAGAAAAGTAAACTGAATTTTAAAAAAATGTAAAATAAGTTTAATTTAATTAATTACTTTTTCTATGTGAATAAACAAATTTCAATTTTAATTAGTCAATTTTTAAATATTATTAAATTTGTATGTAATTAGCAATGCTTTTTTTTTTTTTTTTTTTTTAAATTTTAGATATGGAAGAAGAAATTACAACCGAATCATCAATTGCACCAAATCGTACCACAATTGCACCTCTGTTAAGGTTATTTACCTTACCATTGATTAAATTGCCACCACCACCAAATATTGATACCTATGGTTGGTTCTTACGCTTTTAAAATTATATAATTTTGAATAGATTTTTTAAAAAAAAAAGTTAATAAATAAGTTTAAATTCGAGAATTTCGAATAGATTCTATTAAAAAAGGTTAACAAATAAGTTTAACTCCGATAACTTTAAATAGATTTAAATAAAAAAAGTTAACGAATAAGTTTGAATTCGAGAATTTTAAATAGATTTTATAAAAAAAGGCTAATAAATAAGTTTAAATTCGAGAATTTGGAATAGATTTTATAAAAAAAGGCTAATAAATAAGTTTAAATTCGAGAATTTCGAATAGATTCTATTAAAAAAGGCTAATAAATAAGTTTAACTCCGATAAATTTAAATAGATTTAAAAAAAAAAGTTAACAAATAAGTTTAAATTCGAGAATTTAGGATAGATTTTATGAAAAAAGGCTAATGAATAAGTTTAAATTCGATAAATTTAAATAGATTTAAAAAAAAAAGTTAACAAATAAGTTTAAATTCGAGAATTTTGGATAGATTTTATGAAAAAAGGCTAATGAATAAGTTTAAATTCGATAACATTAAATAATTTTAAAACAAAAAAAGCTAATAAATAAGTTTAAATTCAAAAAAGTTTGAACATATTCAAAATAAAAAAAAAAAAAAAAAAAACTAATAAATAAATTAAAATTCGATAACTTTAAATAGATTTTTTTTTTAAAAAAAAAACGTTAATGATTAAGTTTACATTTGATAATTTTTTTTTTTTTTTAAATTTTTTAAAATAAATTTATATTTGCTAATTTAAATTTCAACAACATTGTCAAAAAAAAAAAAAAAAAGTGTTAATCATTAAAAATATTTAATAAATTACAATTGAAAAATTTTAAATTTAAAAATAATTTAAATTTCAACAAAATCGTCAAAAAAAAAAAATCGAGAAATTTAAAATTTAAAAAAAAAATAATTTTGTAATTGTAGGAGGAGAAAAAAAAGGAGCATTATTGTTAAATTAAAACTTGTAAATTTTTTTTTCAAAATTAAAATTTTTTTTTTATTTTTTGAAAAAATAAAAATTTTAATTTTTTAAAAAGGTATCAATACAATACCGGAATTACCACCACAACATGAATCAATCTATGAAGGAATGTTTGCACCGGATGGTAGTCTAATCAGGAAGAATGCGACAATAAAAGAAATTAAAAATACAAAATTTCAAACTGAAACAAATCAAGTAAAAAAGTTTTTTTCTTTTTTTAAAAGAAAAAAAAAAAATATGTAAATTTATAATAATTTCTAATTTATTATTTATAGATTTATGAAGAAGATCGATTGAATCGAAATGATGGAAATTCACGTGAAACACGCGGAACACGTATACGTGCTGCTGATGGTCCAATTACTTATGATGATTATGATTTTTATCCGGTATGTTTTAATGTTTGTTTCATTCATTTTAATAAATTCAAAATTTTTTTTTTAAAAAATAATTAATAAAATTAAAAAATAAAAAATTTAAAAAAAAAAAAAAAAAATTGAAATTTTTAAAAAATAGATAAGAAAATGAAAACAAATAAGTTTAAAAAAAAAAAAAAATAGCTAATATTACTAGCATTTATCTGTTACTTAATTATTAAATATAGCAGTGATAAGTGTTATCAGTTACTGTTTGTATATGTTAACGCTTATCACTCTACATTTACGAGTGATAACGTTTGCGTATAGAAGTAATTGTATGTCTTATTAACACTGATTAGTGATTATTTTTCTTATCATATAACAACAATAATGGACACATTAATCTGATAACAATACATTATCATTTCTGATAACAATACATTATCACTTCTGATAACAACACATTATCATTTCTGATAGCAATACACTATCATTTTTATGATTTAAGCAACAATTAATGCATTAATTCATTTCCATTTCTGATAACAACATATTATCATTTCTGATAATAGCGCAATTATCATTTCTGATAACAATACATTATCATTTCTGATAACAATACACTATCATTTTTGTTAACAATACATTATCACTTCTGATAACGATACATTATCATTTCTGATAGCAATACACTATCATTTTTATGATTTAATCAACAATTAATGCATTGATTCATTTCCATTTCTGATAATAGCGCAATTATCATTTCTGATAACAATACATTATCATTTCTGATAACAATACATTATCACTTCTGATAACAACACATTATCATTTTTGATAACAATACATTATCACTTCTGATAACAATACATTATCATTTCTGATAGCAATACACTATCATTTTTGTGATTTAATCAGTAATTTTTGTGATTTAATCAGTCAATGATTCATTTCCATTTCTGATAACAACATATTATCATTTCTGATAATAGTACATTATCATTTCTGATAATAATACATTATCGCTTCTGATAACAATACATTATCATTTCTGATAGCAATACACTATCATTTTTGTGATTTAATCAGTAATTAATTCAATGATTCATTTCCATTTCTGATAATAGCGCAATTATCATTTCTGATAACAATACATTATCATTTCTGATAACAATACATTATCACTTCTGATAACAACACATTATCATTTTTGATAACAATACATTATCACTTCTGATAACAATACATTATCATTTCTGATAGCAATACACTATCATTTTTGTGATTTAATCAGTAATTTTTGTGATTTAATCAGTCAATGATTCATTTCCATTTCTGATAACAACATATTATCATTTCTGATAATAGTACATTATCATTTCTGATAATAATACATTATCGCTTCTGATAACAATCAATTATCACTTTTGAATATTCTAATGATAACAAAAGTATAACAGAAGCAGTTATGCTTATCAATTTTTTATCATACAGTTAATCACATATGATAATGAATCACAAACAAATATTTGCTTACAATTACAGCAACTATTTCTTGCATGTTAAAGTAAAGTAAAGTAAAATAGAGTAAAGTAATAATATATTGGCGCAAATTGCATTGCTACATTTGATTAGTAAAATGCGCAGCTAGCATAATTTCTACTTTTCATTTCAAATTTTTGAACTTAAAAAGAAACAAATATAATTTCAGGATGAGAAACAAACAAACATTCATGAAGAAAATATGATTGCAACTAATTTCTTACGTAAACAAAATAAAAACAATGCAAAATTATTATCAACTAAATCTATTAATTATAATAAAGTAATATTTTAAAAAAATTTTTTTTTTTAAATCTTTTTTTTAAATCCTTTTTTTTTTGTAAATTTTTTTTAGTAAATAAGAGTAAATATTAATAAATTTTATTTAATTTATTTATTTTAAAGATAATAACCTCATCAGAATCAGAAATATCTTCATTTAATGATACAACAACAACAACAACAACAACAACAACAACAACAACAACAATTACTACTACCAAAGGTATATTAAATTACAATTATTAAATTAATAAATTAAATTTGTAATTTTTTTTTTTCATTTACCTTTTATTGAGTTAAATAAATAATTTTGCTATTTTCAATTATAATATGCAATTATTAATTTTTATTTCAATTATTTATTTATTTATTTATTTTTTTTTTTTGTTGTTTGCAATATTTTTACCAAATATTTTGTTGCTGCTAATTAAATATTTCATCTTATAATTTCTCAATTATTTATTTCTATGTGTCAAATATTATTTCTTCTTTTTTTTTTTTAAATTTTCACTTAGAAAAAAAAAAATTTGAAATTTTAGAAACAATAGAATTGAATCCAAATGTAAAATCATCAACACTCACTCGATTGCAAGTTTTAATTTCTGGTGAAAATGATAGATTTGCAAAAAAAAATTTCAATTTTGGTAAAATTTTTTTTCTTTTTTTTTTTTTTTTTTTAAATCTATCTTATTCTATTATTTTCATAATTTATGAAGCAATTAAATTGTTAAATAATTCAAAAATGATAAAAAATAATTTTTTTTTTTTTGTGAAATAGAAAATAAATGATATTTAAATATAATATTACGATCATATCAGAATTTAATTAATTAATTAATTATACTTAAATTACAGCTGATGTAAATGATATTCACATATAACAATACGATTATATCAGAACCTAATTAATTAATTAATTATACTTAAATTGCGGATAATATAAATGATAATTGTATATAAGAGTACAATCATATCAGAATTTAATTAATTAATTATACCTAAATTACGGATGATGTAAATGATATTCACATATAACAATACGATTATATCAGAACCTAATTAATTAATTAATTATACCTAAATTACGGATGATGTAAATGATATTTATGTATAACAGTACGATCATATCAGAACTTAATTAATTAATTAACTACAGTACGATCATATCAGAATTTAATTAATTAATTAATTACACCTAAATTACGGATGATATAAATGATATTTATATATAAGAGCACGAACATATCAGAATTTAATTAATTAATTAATTACATCTAAATTACGGATGATATAAATGATATTTATATATAAGAGCACGAACATATCAGAATTTAATTAATTAATTAATTACACCTAAATTACAGATGATGTAAATGATATTTATATATAAGAGCACGAACATATCAGAATTTAATTAATTAATTAATTACATCTAAATTACGGATGATATAAATGATATTTATATACAATAGTACGATCATATCAGAATTTAATTAATTAATTAATTATACCTAAATTACGAATGATATAAATGATATTTATATACAATAGTACGATCATATCAGAATTTAATTAATTAATTAATTAATTACATCTAAATTACGGATGTTGTAAATTATTTTAATTGTAGTATCTGATGCATACAGAGAAAAACCGCACAGAATTTTTCCGCGATCAGATCATTCACCGGTACAGGTGATTCCGGTACGAGTAACGGAGCATAAATCTGACAATGAAAGTGCTCTCCAGTTATCAGAATGGCAACGATATGAAAATGGAAGTTTAGATCGAACTACAATTAAGCCAAATATTCGTGTCATCCTTCGTGATGGTCAAATTGAGCGCAATAAAATTGTCACATCAACTGTCACCAAATCTAAATCAGTACCACATGCTAATTCTTTGCCAAAGAAAAGAGATGAATTTGAATTACAGCAGTATGATACTGAAGTAAATTATCCTAAATTATCACAAAAATTAACATCAAAGAATTCAATTCCTGAAAAATTTCACGAAAAGGTATTTTTTTTTTTTTTTTTTTTCTAGACAAATAAATAAATTGAATAGTGTCACCATTTGTCACCAAATCTAATTCTAGACGAGTAGATTATAATAAATAATTATTCTTCAAATCTAATGAAATAGAATTAATTATTATTAATCATTAATGCATTTCTGATAGTTTACAATTATATATATATATTTTTTTTACACAAATAAATAAATCGAATAGTGTCACCATTTGTCACTAAATCTAGTGTCACCATTTGTCACCAAATCTAATTCTAGACGAGTAGATTATAATAAATAATTTTCTTCAAATCTAATGAAATAGAATTAATTATTATTAATCATTAATGCATTTCTGATAGTTTACAATTATATATATATATTTTTTTTTACACAAATAAACAAAAATCGAATAGTGTCACCATTTGTCACTAAATCTAGTGTCACCATTTGTCACCAAATCTAATTCTAGACGAGTAGATTATAATAAATAATTATTCTTCATTATTAATCATTAATGAATTTCTGATAGTTTATATATATATATATATTTTAATAAATAAATCGAATAGTGTCATCATTTGTCACTAAATCTAGTGTCACATTTTTTTTTTTTTTTTTTTTTTTTTATTAATTATTATTATCATTATTTCTGATAGTTTATATATATATATATATTTTTTACACAAATAAATAAATCGAATAGTGTCACCATTTGTCATTTTTCAATTTTTTTTTTTTTTTTTTTTTTTTTTTTTTTTTTTTTTTTTTTTTTTTTTTTTTTTTTTTTTTTTTTTATTTAGTGTCACCATTTGTCACCAAATCTAATTCTAGACGAATAGATTATAATAAATAATTATTCTTCAAATCTGATGAAATATAATCAATTATTATTATTATTCATTAATGCATTTCTAATAGTTTACAATTATAGCAGCAGCAGCAGCGACAACAACAACAACAACAACAACAACAACAACAACAACAACAACAACAGCAACAACAACAACAACAACAACAACAACAACAGCAACAACAACAACAACAACAGCAACAACAACAACAACAACAACAACAACAACAATTTGAGCAACCGACTTTCTTAGTTAGTTTTGAAAGATAATTAATTTAAATTCCTACCATTACCAATCAATTTATAGCAAATAAACTAGCTATATGTCATTGTTCAATTTTGTCATCTTTTTTTCTAGAATAGTCCAAATGCGCATGCACAACCCGCGGTGCAAAATATTTTGGTAACCCCGGCAAAACAATATTATAAACAAAATGATCAACGTGAACGACAATCTCTCCAATATCAATTTGATCAACAATCTTCCCAATATTTGCCCAAAGTCCAACAACAATCACTCCGATATCGACCTCAACAGCATCAGCAACCTACCCAATATCAACCTCAGCAACCCAGCCAATATCAACCTCAGCAACCCAGCCAATATCAACCTCAGCAACCTACCCAATATCAACCTCAACAACCTACCCAATATCAACCTCAGCAACCTACCCAATATCAACCTCAACAACCCAGCCAATATCAACCTCAACAACCCAGCCAATATCAGCCTCAACAACCCGTCCAATATCAGCTTCAACAACAACCTATCCAATATCAGCTTCAACAACAACCCATCCAATATCAACCTCAACAACAATCTCCTCAGTATCAACCTCAACAACCGTATCCGGTGCGTGATCCTGAAGATGAAGCATATCTTCGAGAAGTGGAAGAATACGATCATTTTTGGGAAAATGAACATGTTAGTTTATATAAAATATTGATTTCATTAATTTTAAATAAATCATCATAATAAGTATAAATAAATGAAAACGAGTAACAAATTTCATTTTTTTACAATATTTCCATTTTTTTCTTAAAAAAAAAAAATAAAAGAAAAATAAATTTTAAGTTTTATAGTTTATTTCTAATTTCAGGCTCGAACTGCATCATATTATCAATTACAGGTTTTTATTACAAATCAATAATTAATTACCTAAAATGTACTATATAACTATGTATCATTTTTTTTTTTTTTAACTGACATTTGATTAATTAATTTTTTTCAGTATTTAAATTAATGATTAAAAGAGTAAATTGTTGAAAAAAAAAAAAATAAGCCTATCCAAGCATTAATTATAATAATGCTTGATAATTTTTAAATCTTAACTACTTTTATAATAATTACTCTTTCTTTGTATTGTTTATAACCAATACAATTAATAATTCTAAATTTTAGCTTTAAATAATAAATCATTTTTCATAATTGTTTTTTCTCAATTAAATTTGAAATTTTCACTCAGGCAAAAGTAACAATATCACCAAATTATCAACCTATTCATTTGCAACAACAACAACAACAACAACAACAGCCACAACATCCACTGGTATTTTAATTGCTTTATAAAGTTTATTTAAATTTAAATTTCAAAAATTTCAATTAAGGCAAATATAAATTTATTGTCTCATACAATTCGATATTTAATTATATTTGGTTTTGACAAATTTTGAATGGAAAAATAATATTTCTATCAAACATAAAGTTTTAAAAATAAAATTTCTCATTCTTATTTTTTAAAGAAATTTTATCAGAAATAACCGTTACACATAATATTTCTAATAGAACAAACAAATGGATTTTAATAATATGAACTCTTATTTGATGCAAATTATTTGATTTTTTGATAAATAATTTTTCTACTAATAAGCTGAAAGAAAAGATTCTTATTTGACATTAACCAATGCTAAAATATTCTAAAAATTCCAATTTTTTATTTATTTGTTTAATTTCAATTTTATTTATTTGTTTATTTCATTCATTTTTTTTCCTATGTGTTTACTACAAAATCTGCTAAAAAGTTGTAAACAGATTATAAATTTAAAAAAATGGAATTTTTTATACGATTTTCAAGTAATTACGTTTGTTTTTAACTGATTTATTGTTTGCATGGCAATACTAACAATTGAGTGAAATAAAATTGAAGGACAAAAAAAAAAGAAAAAAAAAAATTATTTTGTAAATTTTACAAAAAAAATTTTACAAAAAGTGATTTTTACAAAAAGATTAATTTTATAATTTAAAATTTCTATTTCTTCATTTAAAAAATTAAATTTAAATAAAAGTTAATTACAGATACAATATCAACAAACTGTCCCTTATCATTCTGCTCGTGCACCAACGCCATTTATTACTAGAAATTCTGAACAATCAATGTATCAACCAATACAGAAACAACAACAACAACAACAACAACAGCAGCAACAACAACAACAATGGCAACAACAACTTTTAAAACCGCACAATTCAGGTTTAGAATTTAATTTGTTATTATTTTTTATATTTATATCAATTATAAAAATACGAATGAAGAAGGAATAAATATATTAAATGTTTTTTTTTTCAATCGAGTATTTTAAAAATATGTAAGAAAATTTTTGAATGAGATGCATTTAAATTTTATAATTATTCTAAATTAAATAATAATCAATCTAAAGAGAAGCAAGAGAGAGAGAGGGATAGAGAAAAGGGAGAAAAAGAAGAGAAAAAGGGAAAAGAGTGAAAAATCATGAGAAAAAAAAAATAAATAAATAAAATGATTATTTAGTTTAATTTTTAATTTATTATTAGGTATTCAATCAGAAACCTCAAATTCAATAAAATCATCGAATCCGCTTCTTATCGATCTTGATACATTATCGAAAAATTTATTTGGTAGCCTTTTTAACAACCAAAGGTATACTTTGCTTTACTTTCATTTCCTGTCATGATTTTTGATCAACGACAAATTTCATTTTTTTTAATATTAATTACAAGAATTTTTTTTTTTAAAAAGATAAACTTAATTATAATCAAAAATATAAACTGAAAAAAATATATGTAAATCAAGCATTTCAAATATAAATTAAGCCAATGATAGTAGTGTTTCGAATTTTATAACTTCTTTTTAAGCTGACTGATACTGGAAGTTACTTTATTTGGTAAAACCAACTAATCAGTAACCATTAGTCAATAACTGATTTAAATATATAAACAATAAAATTCTATAGATGTAAGAATTGTAAATATAAAAAAAAAAGCAAAATCGTATAAATAAATAATTTTGAAAAGAATCTAAATTATTTTCGAAATTATTTTTACAGGAATTGAAACGAAATAACCAATCGATAGTTGTTGGTTTATTATTAAGCTTTACTGATGTTTTATTTTGCGCTATGGTGGAATAAAAAATAATTCGATGATTACTATATAATTATTATTGTTTTGAAATTAGATTTTAAATGTTAATTTGAGAATTTTTAGAAATGATACACTTTTGGTTTTCAATGTTTTATGTACATTAATTAATAGGTTATGTGCTTAAATTTTGTTTTAATTACTTTTAGAATTATATAATTTAAAAATGAAAAAAAAAAAAAAAAAAAAAAAAAACGATAACTGAAGAAATGCCTTCTGGCATCGATTGTTATTTGATAATTCCGATGAATTTATTTGCAATTAAAATTTTTATTTTAATTCGGTCTAATTCACTGTATGCACTTGACAATAGTGACACTAAGTAAACATATTTAGAAATTTGCTAAAAATAACATTTAAAATTTTTTTTTAAAAAGGCAATTAAAATTTAATCTTATTAAATCATTTAAAATTTTTTCTTTTTTTATCTAAATATAAAAAAAAAGAACAAATATTTGATTAACTAAAAAAATTGAATTACTTTTTGAAATATAATAATCACCTTTTTTTTTTTTTTTGCTAATAAAAATTCGGGAAAATGATTGAAAATATTTGCAAAATATTTAGCAGATAATATCTATTTCAAAAGAAAAAATATTTGAAATTGTAAAGATCAGTGGTGTTTTTTTTATTTCTTTCAATATTTTATTAATTTAATAGATTAATTTAAAAAAAAAAAAAAGGAGCGATAGCTTGATTTGTTGAAAATTGTTTATCATTAAATTTTTTTTTTTTTTTGCTTCATTTAAACGATATGCTAATTATTAGTTTCTTTTTGAAAAAAAAAAAAATTTTTTTTGTAACAAAAAAAGAAAAGTAAGAAAAGAATGAAAATATTAAAAAATTTATTTTGTATCATTAAAAATGATAATTTGAAGAAGAAAATTGCACATTTCTTTAGAATTTTTTTTTTTTGAAATTTATTTTATTTTGCTTAAAAAATGTAATTAAATTTTTCGCTTGAATAACTTAAATTTTGATTTTTAATTTTAAAAATTAGTTTTTTTTTTTTTGTAATACTTACACTTAAGTATTATTTATATCATTATACTTTTATATAGGATTTATTTTAATTTTTTTTTTTTTTTTTTTTTAAATTTTAATATAAAAAGCAAAGAGGTTGAAAATGAAAAGAAATTATTTTCTTATTTTTCTTTTCTTGCTAATATATTAACAAATATAATTGAATTTACAATGAAAATATCATTTTTTTTAAATCATATTGAATGACAATTTGCGCCACCGAAAATGTAACTACCAAATTTATTTATTATAATTATCTATTTATTTTTTTTAGTTTTTTATGAAAAAATGCGAATTTTATCTATCATTTATTTTATAAATCGAAAGAGAAATATTTTCCAGAAATATTTGTTAAATAAAAATAATTATTAAATAAATATAATATGGAATTGTTTAAGAAATTTTTTGTCAATCATTAACAAATTTTATTTTTTAGTTTTATGAAAAATGCGAATTTTATCTATCATTTATTTTATAAATCGAAAGAGAAATATTTTCCAGAAATATTTGTTAAATAAAAAATAATTATTAAATAAATATAATATGGAATTGTTTTAAGAAATTTTTTGTCAAATCATTTAAACGAAATTTAATTCTTTTAATTTAAAATTGTTTGAAAAAGAAAAGTGTTTACGTACAGAGAGAATTCATATTAGCAATGTATTTTCTCTGTTGTAATGGAAATTAGAATAAATAAGTTTTTTTTTTTTTTGAAATTAATTTTAATTTTATGCAAAAAATTTGTTTCCTAAATTTTGCATATTTTTTATATAATATGTAAACAGCTGGAAAAAAAAATATTTTAAATCATTTTTCAATAAACATTTGAGTAAGGTGGACGGTTAAATTGTGCGCTCTTTGATAAGTTTAATTTTAAAATTTTAAAAATTTGTATTTTTAAAGTATTTTTAAAAATATGTGAATTTTATACGAATGAAATGGTCATTTTTGGTTGAACTGAAATTTTACTTTGAAATTGTAGAAACAATAATATTCAATTTATTAAAGTTAAAAAAAAAAAAATTTATTCGATCATTTTCAAACTTCAACAATTACAATTTTGAAAAGTTCCAAACTAGGGGATTTTTCTAATTAAAGCATCTTTTTTATTTATTATTAAAAAATTTGCAATGAATTTCGAATATATGATTAAATAACTTTTATAGATGATTACAAATAATTTCACTTAAGTTTTATAAAAAAAAAATAGATGATAAGGTTTCATAAAAAAAAAAAAAAAATCAAATAATTTTATAATTTCACTTAGGTTTTACAAAAAAAAAAAAAAAAAAAAAAGAAATGGTAACAAATAATTTTATAATTTCACTTAGGTTTTATAAAAAAAAAAAATCACAAATAATTTTATAATTTCAATTTAGGTTTTATAAAAAATAAAAAAAAAATAGATGACAACAAGTAATTTTATAATTTCACTTAGGTTTCATAAAATAAGTTTTATTTATCATAAAATTCTTTTCCCTAAGTAATATAAAACAATCATTAATTCCATTCATTCTGCTCGTAAAATTATTCAAACCATCCAATCAAAGTATCAAAAGTCATATAATTGCCATACCATTCGTTTCCATCTTTTATTATTACTATTCGTCATTTGTTAGCTTTCATTGATGTATTTCTTCACCAAATAAAAACAATCCATTAAACAATGATCGATAATCGTTAAAGGTCATCGTTAAGGTCATAAATGGCTGGAAATTTTGATACAGAAGCTTTAGTACTTATAGTACTCACCTATATAACTCTGATCATTATTCTTTTACGCCTTGCACTTGCACTTTGTCAATTTACGATCAAAAAGGAAATTGAGCGAGCTAAGCAGATTGTATGTTGCAATTAATTATTATTAATAATTCAAATTTTATTCAAAAATTATAAATTACAAAAAAAAAAAAAAAAAAAAAAAAAAAAACTGATATATCTTAGTAATTCTTCAGAAAATGATATTTCTTTTTTTTTAAAGTAATACTAAGGGAAACAGAAATCGATAAATAGGAACTTAAGTAAACAAAAATAAACAAAAATCATTTAAAATTTTGAGTTACAATAAAAAAAAAAAATTTGCTTACTTAATAATATTACAATTCGGCAAATTTTACATTAATTTTTTCTAGGTTATTTTCAGTTTAAAAGTAAAAAAAAATGTAAATTAGTTCGGATTTAAATAAATAAATATCGATTAGTGAAAAAAAAAATTTTTAGATATTTAATTCATTTCTTATTAATTTTATTGCTTAATATTTACTAAAATGATAATTTTGATTTATTTGAAATAAACTGTTTGAGTAGTAAAATTTAGTCATTTTTAATAATTTTTATTTAGATATTTTCATTCATGCATTTTTGAAACAATTTTAGAAAAATACATTAATCAATTTAAATATTTAAATAAAATTACTGAAATTTGAAATGATCAAAATTTATAAAAAATTTTTCATCTAAAATTTGGTGTATTTTAGAGGGAACAATCTTTATCGCTTCAAAAAGTAGCAGTTATAGATGCTAATAATGAAAACAAACAAAATTCAAATGGAAATCATTTATCATCATTTAATTGCAAAAATAAATATCATGATAAGCCAATAAAGTAAGTCAGATGATTAATTATGATTAAATTATGAAAAATGATAACAAAAATATCATGATAAGCTAATAAAGTAAGTCAGATGATTAATTATGATTAAATTATGAAAAATGATAACAAAAATATCATGATAAGCTAATAAAGTAAGTCAGATGATTAATTATGATTAAATTATGAAAAATGATAACAAAAATATCATGATAAGCCAATAAAGTAAGTCAGATGATTAATTATGATTAAATTATGAAAAATGATAACAAATTTTTTTAATTTGTTTTTTTTTTTTTTAATTTTAATTTTTTTTTTTTTAAAATATCATAGTTTCAGTTAATTATAGGAATCATAATTCATCTTATAATGAGAATTTTGAAACAATTTTGCTTGATTCATCTATAGAAGATATAAATGTTAATCCTATTATCAAGCATGGTATTCCTTTCTGTTTAAAATTAAAATTTAATTTTATTTAATAATAGAAATAAAAGTACTCTTAAAGTCATTACAGAAAAAAAAATAAACAATCATTATTTTCAATATTTCTTCTTAAATTCATTTTTCATTCATAATTGATGAGAATTGTTAAATTTTATTGATAAAAATTTCATGACATAATGAAAGTTAAAATTTTTGAAATGTAATTTTATTCTTATTTATTACAATTTTAATTAAATATTTTGAAGTAATTGGTAGGCAAATTTCTGTTGTATGT